AGATTAACATAGAAACTATTTTCATAGAAGTAAAAGGGTATTTTGTTGCCGATGGCTTTGAAGTTTGAAACGATTTTGATTTCGATTTCAATTATCATCTAAGCCAAACAGACAATGAGGAAGACCATTTCAATTTTGCTGACTTTTTCCTCCAAATGCTTAACATGAACCCCCTTTATATGATTTTAGAAGTCTATGTATATCAGGCTTCTACAAAGAAGATAATTAAGTTACTATATTCTGTATTTTCTTTTTATATTTTCATGATTTTCTAGGGTTGTGAGTTGCGAATTGGGTTGGTTAAAAATAGGGTTTTTGGGTTGGGTTGGGTTGAAGATTGGGTCAGGAATAGGGTTACATAATGTCTAACCCCATTTGTGGGGATTATATTACAAAATTATATATCATCCCAATGTTCATAAGCTTTTCTGCAAAATAATTATTCTAAAATGACAACTACCTAAGATTCTTTGGAAATTGGGCAAAAGAGCAACAAAATTCTTGTCCTTCCAGCAGTGACTAGTGAGTCCGGATCTCTGCACCGGATATTGTTTTCTTTTCTGCAACAGTGCTAACGTAATTGTCTTATATTCTACGTTATTTTGCTTCAGTATACTTTTTTTCTTTGTTCGTTAATGGGAAGGAAGAATATCAATCACTTACTTCAATTCCTAAGCTAGATATCTGAAGATTATTAGTATATTAACTAGCTCGAACGTTTCATCAACTCCCTGCAGACGAGATAGCTTCATCACACACAGAGCTTTCTGTGATGCATTAACAGAAGAAAACAACAAGGTAAACCAGCAGCAAGGTCTGGCATCCACCACTGAAGAAGCAAAATCACAAGGTCAAGTCACCCAGCTCATGTCGTCGATGCCCATAAACACCATCAACAACTCACTGGTCGGGATCTCATCAGAATTCAACCAACCCGGAGACAAGAATCCTCTCAAGTCCTTACCCAGTGGCAGTGATATAATGTCTTCAATGCCACCTAAGTCTCTAAACATGGCGGCAGGAAGCATGTTCTCTAGCAGCTCTGCCACCCTTTTTGGTGCCCCAAGAAGCACCCCTTCATCCTCTTTCTGCTTTCTGGGGTCATCAGCTCACATGTCTGCAACAGCCTTATTGCAGAAAGCTGCCCTAATTGGTGCAGCTGCAGGCAGCAACACCAACTCCTCCATGATCCACAAGAGCTTCATTGCAGGTCTGGTTGGGACTGATCATCAGCTCTCCAGCATAAGAACATCATCTTACGGAGGAATGCATCAGAACAACAACAGCTCATATGATCACACCCAACTACAAGCAGACCCATCACAACCAGTTGGGAAGGACAGTGGGGAATTAACAAACCAACTCTTGGAGAAGTCCAAACAAGACAAGTCGCCCAAGTTTTTCGAAGCTACAGAAAGCGCCCGGAGCTCAGGGATGAATGGCATGGGGATGTTACTGGGAGTTGTTGATCAGAACCATGGATTCTTGAAGAACATAGAGCATGAACACAGCAGTAGTACTAGTACCTGCAGTATGTCACAGGGTAGATCAAGTGTCAATTCAGGGGTAGGGATCCCACCAACTAGGCGGAATCAAATAGAAATGTATAGGGTTGGAGGAAGCAGTAGTGGGGATGTGATGACTGTGGATTTCCTAGGAATTGGAGGATCGAAATCAGCAGCTTTACATGAACAAGGACAGCAACAGCAGAAGCAGGGATCGGAGTTGGAGGCAATTAGTGAGCAGAGATTGCAAGGATTTCATCAGTTTCAGCAACAGCAATCACATGGGCAAACAACAATGGTGAAATCGTTGTGGGATGTTTGAGAGAAAAACAACTTAACAAGCTCCTGATTTTCTTCCTACTATGTTGTGGAATATGGAGTTCTTCATAGATCTCAGCCATGGTCCATCGTCGCATCGATTCCCGGCCCAAAATCAGAATTTTCAGTCAACATGGTAATGGGCCAAAAGACAGAAATGTGTATCAGTTCAAAGTGGCAGCAGATGGAGACCAAAATAACTGACAAAATAGGGTTGATGATCCCTAGTTAAGTGAAGGTGTTTCTTCTTTTGATTAGAAAGAAGAATTGGGCCGGATTGGGCCAGGCCCAATTCTTCTCTAGAGCAGACTAGGACTTGAGTAGCAACAAGGCGACTAGCCACTAGCGAGGAGTTAAGGAATAGACCCATCAAGGAACCATCACAATGGATCAAAGCAAATGCAGTTTTACAGTCCAAGGAAGCCCTATGATTCTTTTACCTGGGAACACAAGAGATGTGCCGAGATTAAACTTGTTTTGTGAAGTTGAAATGTTAAACACTTTATACTTCACAGACTATCCCATAGGGTAGAGAGAGAAAGAGGAGAGAGAGCAAAGAAAGAAAAAGAAAAAACGACAAGATTAAGCCCAATTCTGCTCCTTGATCCTGTGGGGTTGGGCAATAAATTAAGAATAATGCCCTTAACTCACAAGAGAACAAAATGTAGACTTTTTAATTTTATGCAAATACATAGGATATGGTTATGGGGTATAGCTCTTGGCCTCTTGGCCTCTTGTCCTTATGCGATATAAGGCCTCCATGGTGATAACCCTAGCTGGCATGTTTTGTTGTAGATCAACTGCTAACTTTTCTTAGACTGTAAAATAGGTGGTAAAATTCTCACTTTAAAACAATTGAGCTATTATTTCCATTATTAGAAGCAAAATGAAAATTCTTTGAAGAGGAAAAAAATTGGCAATTTTTAATCCTCTTGGCAATTTTGGCTGTTAAATTAGGATTATTTATATGATATATGATGGCATCTATGGCCCTCCTAACACATTACCCAACTTTGTATAGTAAGTATTACCCATATCCCACTTGATATTGACACTAGTCGTGGGATTGTCTTAAGCATTATTTAAAATCATAGGTGCCATTTGCGAATTTTTGTTAGAAAGATCTTTCAACAATCTAGATGACCAAACGACATATTAAGCTGTTTGGTAAGCAGCTCGGTCTATCGGACTTTTAAAAATGCATTTAGATGTTATCTATCATGCATAAAGATTAAAATACTTCATTTGAAGCTTTCTAAAATTTAGAGTTTTCGGTCTTTTCAGGTCTTTCCTTGGAGTTCACATCTATGGCCCACAGCACATCTCCACTTTGTATTGAGAACATTTGCCAATAATAATACAGGAGATGATAAGACATCATCGGAGGATGTTCCCAATACAAGATGGGGATGTGCTGGGAAGCATTATGGGGCGTCCCCTCATAGGGCACAGATGTGACCACCTTTCCTTGCACGTATATTCTCATCTTTCCAACTTTTAGTTACCAAATGAAAAAAAGACTTAGCAAATGCTGCCTTATTCAATAGAATGTCTTCTTTTACTTTATAAGATTGTAGTCTTTTAACATTCATAGTAGGTTAGAGGCTGCAAATTGACTGACAAACCTGCTGGGCCTCAATAGTAAGATTTGAGTCTACAAGTTTTGGACCTGAGATGACTGTGTCCATTTTCGGTGCCCCATAAGTAACCTGGGCTGCAAAAGGTATCTGTTTGACCAAATTCAAACTCTAAGTCTAACTGAGTTTCATCGGTTTATAATTGGATGAAATATGGATCCACCTCAATCCGAACCAATTCAATTCATATCTAATAACATTTGATTATATACATATATAGGTGTGGATTCGAGTCGAGTCAAGCTGAATATTTGGTTATTCGAGCTTAGTTCGCATAAATAGTATCAGGTTCAAGTTCAAGCTCGAGTTCTGCTCAGTTCATATAGCTTGTAAGTTCGAACTTGACTATAAGTCAAATTCTTTTTGAAAAATAAAAATTATATGTATAAAATTATTTTTTTATTTTTTAGACAAAAATGAAGAATTGTAATTTAATATTATATATACAAAAAATAATTATAAAAATTATTTACTATTATACATGACAAATAAAAATAATATATATAATAAAATTATTTATTATATGTTTGTATATAATAAGAATTATTTATTTAATACTAGGCTCACGAGCCGAGTTTCACTGGGCTCAAGCTCGGCTCAATTAACAAACGAGCCTATATATCGAGTTCAAATTCGGCTCAAAGCTCGGTTTAAACTGAGCTGAGACAAGTTCAAATAACTTGTGAAAATCTGGTTTATTTTGAAAGCCATGATGGTTGAGTTGGAATTTTCAAGTTGCAGGTCAGTTAGGGTTCGAGGTTGAAATTTTCATTACATATCAAGTCGTATCGATCAATATATATCGTATCAATGGGTCAATATATTCCAAATATGAACCTTTTTGAAAATTTGACCTATTTTAGGGGAAAGGCAGGCCTAAGACCTACCCCTCTGCCCTATTTTTGAAAAAAAAAACTAAGAAAATAGGATATGTGTGATTCAAAGTACTTGTATCCATATTTGGAAGGTTGCTAGGGACTAAAAGGTCAAGAGTAACTCCAGGTCAGGTTGGGCTTGAGTTTAGAACTCTGCTGGCGAGTTCAGATCAGCCCCACACAATGTCCCACTGCACATCCCCGCCATGTATTGGTAACATCTCCCGATAATAATATCTGGAATGATGATGTCATCATAGGAAGATGTTCCTAATACACAGTGGGGATGTGCTGTGGGACATTGTGGGGGGCAGTTGTTTGTGGGGGTCTGATTCAGTCTCTCTGCTGGCCTCTCCAACCCCAAATTTGGAAGGTAAATCCCCAATTGTATGAACTTATTAGGGTGATTTGATAACTGCTGAAATGGCTGAACTGAATTACTTATTGATTTGTCTTTGACAAAATAGTCACACATTGAACTATTTAGGGGTTCAGTAATCACCGCCAATATTCCATTTAACAACTAATAAGAACATTTTCTACTAATTTATTAAGGTTATGCTTGGTTTGAAGGAAAATGTACGGAAAGGAAGAAAAAGGTAAAAAAACCCATACGAGATTTGTAAAGATTTCCTTACCTTTTTCTTTCTTTTCTTAGTTATTCCTTCGAACCAAACATAACCTAAAGGAAAATTAATAAATAATTAATTTCAGCCAGTTCGGCAGTCGTTAAAAGGACAAATATTAAAAGGCAACTATTATTTCTGTTTTCTTTTCAATAACATCCTGAACAGTTCCATCAAGTTGTGTTAAGGCAGATACTGGGTTAGTCTTGAGTTGGTTAATTCTACCTTATTATCATGTTTGAGGGCCCAAGCCTTAAAAGTTGGATCAGGGCTATGGGTCTTACCCACGTAAGTGACGTTATTCTGAGTTTTCCTTAGAAAAAGTTTGATGATAATGGACCTTTGCACTAACAATGGACACGTGGCAATATATAGGTCTACATTAAAAAATAAAATATTTTTAAATATTTCAATAACTAAATATTTTTAATAAAAATACTAAAAATATCTAAATAATTATGTAAAAATATTTAATATATGTAATAACTTATAAATAAATAAAATTTAATTAATGAAAATTTATAAATATTTTATTGTATTTATTTTGTAATTATTGTATTTTTTTATATACTTTCAGTAATTGTGTATTTTTGCTAAAAAAATATCAATAATTATTGAAGATTAAACTATTGTTATTTATTGGAGATTTAACTATTAATTTATCTGAAATTAGAAGTGTTTGTGAGTCGGTCAGTTCGATTGTAAATTGTTTGGCCAACCAAACTGACTTTGTCAAGTTGTAGAGTTGGTCACCCCAAACCGACCTACCATTAGTGAAAACTGTCCAACCAAGGGCAGTGGGGAGAGCCAAGTTATTGGGTGGGAGGTCCTTTGCCCCCCGCCAAAAAAACTTTTCCCCACCCTATACCTTTAACTAGGGGTAGCCCATCCCATATACCAACAACCACGTTGGGCTATTATTTGGCCCCCAAAGCATTTTAGAGAAAATGTTATTGGGAGGGCAGAGTCACATTAATACTTATCTCAATCATGACCCAATTTGATTTCTTGAAATCCTAATTCTAACTTTAACAAAATCCATTATTTTTTTCCTGTGTCAATCCAATCTGTTTGAATTGGATTAGAATGACTTATTTACTTATATATTATAGGGTCATATTGAACAATATCTCAATCTTAAACTAGCCCAAAATTTAATAGGGTTTATATTTTTTAACTTTAACCTTAACAAAAACTTTAAACCGAACTTTCTAGTTGGATATTAGTTGTAGAATATATCTCATAGGTGCACTTTAGAAATTTTCACCTAGTCTCCATTCTCCATTCTTCCCCATCTCTCATTCTCTTGGCCCCCTAAGAGAAAAATCCTGGCTCTGCCACTATGGCTAACTCGAGTTATATTAGTTTAGGTTCGTTTTCAGTTTGGTCAATTTGTTCAAAAGATTTAAACTTAAAAATTAAATTTAAATTTAAAAAGTTACAGCAGTATTATTGAAAAAATAAATTAAAATTTTTAAATGTACAATATAAAATATTTTAGACTAAGAAATATGGGAAATTTCTCATTTTCCCATATTAGAAAAATTATATTTAAAATATAAAAATATTAATATACATCTATGGTCAAGTCAGTTCAATTTTGGTCAATTTACAAATGGCCAAACCGAAATTGACTCAACCTGGTCAGGTTGTGAAATTGCTGAACCAAAACTGACCAGAATACTAGAAACCCAACCAACTTGGGTCAAGTTGGGTTAGGTTGTTTAGTTTCATCGGTTTGATGAATAGCTCTAGTTGAAACTAATTATTATTACTTTTTGTGTTTGCAAAAAAATTATTAAAAGTAGTATATAAAATATAACTATTTATTAATTATTTTACAAAAGGTAAAATATAAAACAATTGTCTACTCTTATGTGTTTCTATTGTTTAACTTCCGCTTAACAAAGCCTATGCATCATACGAGTCTACACGCACACACACACACACAATATATATATATATATAAACTGAACTGAACAACGAACCGATCAAGGGTCCGGTTCCCGAATCAAACATTTTGACCGTAAAAACTGAAAAACGACCCATTCTAACAAAAAAAGTAAAAAATTAAAAACAAAATAAAAAACCGGCTAAATTGTTGAACGGTTTGAATGGTTTGACTGCCCAGGTTAGCGGTTTGCTGACCAAATCAACGGTTTTTGGGGAAATAATAGTTTTAGGATAAGATTCAGGAAATATATATATATACTGGGTGGAACCAATTCTAAACCAATAAGATTCGGGAAATATATCAAGAACTAGAACCAATCCATTGGTTTTGATTCCACCAAAATCGGCCCAATTGGTTCAGGTCCATCAGGTCTGTTAGGTCCAACCTGACCCTAATTCATGATTCTGAATTAACATTAAGTAGGGTTGTAAATCGATCGGATGAGATTCAATAAAAGGTTTATCTAATCTGATTTGATCGATCCAAATTTAATAATAGTCCACTTAGACTTTCAAGATTCGCATTCAAATTTGAATATTTTATTCTAATTCAAATCCAATTAGAATTGAATTGTAATAAAAAAAGTTGATGACTAACATATGTAATGGATTAGATTGGGGTA